CCAAACAAATTTTTTTTTTGAAAAATGGCCTCCTGTGATTTTTTTTTAGGGGTTTTTCTTGGTGCTTTTTTTTTTTTTTTTTTTTTTTTTTTTTTTTACCTGCTAGAGTCTACAGTCGAAGGAGGGACCGGGTCGCCTGGCATAGTTTTTTTTTTGTCTGTCGGCCATATTGGATTTAACAAAAAATTATTTCTTGCATTTGCAGCTGATGGCCAGTAGTTGATAGTGTATTTTATGATGTATTAGTCTCCACTTCAGTGGTCTGTGTGCATTTATAACATAAAAATCCACAAAAAGCACAAGAAAATGACTTTTAGATAGCTGTCCACTGTAGTGACCACTATGCATGAAGGGGTTAAAATTACTTAACATCAGTGTTTAATATCCAGCAATAAGAAAGGCAATAAATTCTGCAGAAGCATGTTTGACCAGCAGTTTGTGACCATGATCCAAAACATACCACCTCTGAATGGCTAAAAGCTGGACATTGACATTGAGATAGTGGGCACTTAAAAGCACCTGGTGGTTCACCTGAACAATAAATTGGACTTTACAGGAAGGGTCAGAGCAAACTCTACCTGCTGAGGAAACAGAAGTCTTCTGGAGAGCAGAAGCTCCTGAACACCCCCTTTTAACTCTGTGGCGGCACCGGCCGTCTCCTGCGGTGTAGTTTGTTGAAGCAGCAGCTTATCCACGGTTGAGAGTAAACAGTTTGATAAGCTCATCAGGAAGGCCAGCTCTGTCCTAGGATGTCCCCTTCCCCAAGTGCAGTTAGTGGAAAACACAAGAACCGTGGCTAAATTAGCATCACTGTTGGACAGTGTCTCCCGCTCCATGCATAAAACTGTTGCTTAAATGGATATTTATTTCAGTGACAGACTGCTGCATTCTAGTTACACAAAGGAGGAGCATTACCGCAGATCCTTCTCCCAAGCAGTTCTAAGATTTCATAACCAGAACTCATTGAGTATTTGCATCCCAGCTGTTATTTATACTTTGTTTCTTTTTGTCAAGATGATATATGCATCTTTGTCAATTTATTTTTCAGTCATCACCAGGTTGGCTTGGGTAACTTTTCCCTTTAATAAATGAAAACAAAATTTACTGTTGTTGTTTTTATTATTGTTATTTACTCATGTTGTCATTGTCTGATAATATAATTTGTTTGATGATCTGAAACATTTAAGTGCGAAAAGGTAAAATCAGAACAAATACCTTTTCACAGCACTGCACATTCGTTTACTTCCTAACTGTGTTCAGCAGTTTTAACAAAAAAATTAAGAAACAAAGTAAAAACCTAGAACAAAATGTCTGTTTTATAAGTGAAAGTCATATGAAATGTTTAAAAAGACCACGATGAATTCCAAATCACAGCATATATCATGACATGGTGATCAAATGTGACAATATAACATGCACATTACTGGATAAACAACTTTTACAAAGCATAACAGATTAACACGCTGTACTATTTTGTTTTTCTTCCAGGCGAATGATCCAGACTCTGGTTCCTGGGGTGAAGTCAAATACACGATTTATGGATCAGGATCAGATTTGTAAGTTAAAACCTTTCACTCCTGCCAGTTTATTATTACATCACCGATCAGATATAAAATTTCCTCACTTCCACAAAAGATTAAAGTAAGGAGATTTTGGTAAGCTCGACAACAGCAATACTGAATGCTTGAATTCAACGTTTTGTCAAAGACTAAACCGGGGATGCCTGTCTTTACTGTACTGTTCAAACAGCTTACTCCAAAATGGCTGCAAGATGCTAATCTTCTAATTGGATCGGAGGGTTAAAAATAGCCATCCTGGCCCCATCTCACGTAGGCAGAGCCAATTAACATGCGATGTGACAGCTGGAGCTACAGAAAACGGTAGCTTTGAAAAGCCAGGCAACGCGCAGCACAGCAAATGTGAGAATTTATGCTGGTCTGCAGACATCAACATTAATTGTGCGAAAGTTATCAGTTTCAAAGCAACTCGTGAATTTTCACTGAGAAGAAAATGTAGAAAAGTCAACCAGATAAAATGGCAGAGAGCTCAACTAAATAAAATAAAAAATTCCAATTTACATTTGTTAAAATTAAATATTTATGTGATTTTGTATTATTATTTTAAGCATAGTTTGTATTCAAGGAAAATGATTTTGGTTAAAAACAAAAAATCCTGATGAGGGGGCAGCAACTAGAATAAAGCCAAGACTCATACAGTTTCACATCTTTTTCATTCTCTTTTTATGAAAATCAATAAAACGAGTACAGAGTAATTAACGGTTTTAAATCTGTCAGTGACAGACTATCACCTGGTTTATGTTATCATACATACTGTAAAACCAAATGGTACACTCTTTTCATGGGGCGATATCAATACAATCATAAAAACATTGGAAACTTACAATTTAAAGGCAAAGTCAGAGATTTTTCAACACCAATGATTTTAGAAGTTATCTAATTACTAAATACAGTCCACATCTGCGTTATTTATTAGTAGATATACTGTATAAGCTTGAAAAAAAAAACATGGTGGTGGCTGTTTGTCAAAATGTTAAAGATACCTTGCAAGGTGTTCCAAGTTCTATCCAGTGGTTTAAGATGGTGACACACAATAAAACACCTCTGACGATGACTGATGCAGTAGCTGATCTTGTCTTGTCTGCAGATTTGCCATCCACCCATCAACAGGCCTTATCATCACACAACCCTGGACCAGTCTGGACGCAGAGATGAGGTCAAAATACAACTTCTACGTCAAGGCGGAAGATTCAGAAGGCAAGTACAGCATCGCTGAAGTCTTTGTCAGCGTCCTTGACATGAACGACCATCCTCCCGAGTTTGATGAGGAATTTCAAGAGAAGACCATGATCATTGGGACGCCTGTCAAAGTTCAGGTACGTTTTTTTTTTTAATCATTATATACAAACGTAAACTCTATGAGTCGGTCGCGGAAGAAAGCTGAATTTACTTACTGTAGATTTACTTCTATGTTCATTTGTCTAAATATTTTTTTTGCAATAGTGCCCTAAAATGCTCCGGTATTTCAAGGGTTCCAAGGCGTGGACTAAACTGAACTGAGACTCTGTTGGAAGACCTTAAAACTAACATGTTCACCGCAACTCTTCCTTCATGCAGGCCGTGGACGAGGACGCAGAGTCTCCTAACAACGTCATCGAGTACTCCATCATGACAGCCGATCCCGACAACGCGTTTGACATCAATGCAAACACAGGGGAGATCCAGCTGAAGCCTTTCATCAAGACTATGGAGATTGTGCACAATATCACCAAACAAAAGGATTGCAAGTGGTCTCTGGTGGTCCAGGCCAGGGACCGGGGATCCCCATCCTTTAGCACCACAGCTGTGGTCAACATCGATATCACAGAGGCGGTAAGACTTTTGTTCTAACTCGCAGCATCCTTCCTCTTCCTCATTTTGCATGCCTGAGCTGTAGCTGGAGGCAGTTTAGCATGAAGCAGAGAGCATCCTTACCATGCTAATGCTACTTTGTTTTATCTTCATCTCCACAAGCTCCATCCTTTTTGCAACCTGAGTTTTTCTTTTTGTCTTGCTTGTTTGTGTAAAATATAAAAATGATATATTTGTTAAAGTTCATAGCCATTAAACACAAGTTTGTGTTTTCCTAACCCACCATGTTTTCACAGTACATTCACTTTGTCGCCGTTCATCATGTTCTTGGCTCTTGTTTCTGTGTTGTGGTCGTGCTTTTTCCAGATCAAAGGTCGAATGGTTTCATACTTCATGGGCCTTAGCAAGCGTCCGCTGACGGTTTTTGGAATTTGTTCCAGCATTATCACATCGCTCATTTTACTGACCATCTGCATTTCCACAATCCTGTACTGTAACGCAGTGAAAAAGTCCAGAATCAACCCCGAGAGTAACTATATCAAAGTGATCCGCAGAATGAAGTGAGACAGAGCCGGTACTTCGAAGCCCAGCTCCAAGCATTGGTTAGCTGGTTGTTGTCTGTAAAAGAGTACTGTAACAATTTGAAAATGCTTTTCTTTTTTTTACGTGTTTTTATATTTGGTATATTTATAACAAAAAACTGAAACATATATTATTACAAAATATATATTTAAAAAAAAACTATGATCTCAATAGAGCATGACTTGACTAAGTGATTTTTAAAATAAATTTATTTTAAAGGTGTGCACCCCTGATAAAGATGAAGTCTCAAAACAATATCACCTTTTACCACAGTTGTATAATCTCATACTGCAAATTTCAGAAAAAATCAAATTTACAATTTAAGATAATTTAATCAGTTGAGAGAGAGAGAAAAAAATCATGTTAAAAACTTTAAATTTGTTTTGACAGAATTATTGAGGCCTCAACAGACTTTTTCTTTTCCTGGGTTGCATATATGGTGTGGCCTCATTCGTTTGAGGACCCATATAACTGGGTCATCATTGGGTTTTTCCAAATGGATCATGATCCAAAACATGCAAAATCAAAACAGAAACTGTATATTTTAGGGCTGTCACGGTCTTCCAAGTGTTACTGTGCTCAATTTAAATGTTGCGTTTTTCTAAAATTTTCAGTGGGAGATTATGCAGCTTCAACAAAAATTAAATTTTTCATTACGTTTGTTATACATCTTTACCAGGAGTGCCAGCAAGTGCTCTGTGTCTAATTTCTGACATAAGCACCACATTTCTGGTCAAAAGAAATTGTTCTTGCAACTCCCAAACAGTCAGAGAAAATCCCCATTGCAGCGCACTGCCAGACGTATTCCCAACATCTAGTAACAATAGTTTTAGGTCTTGTGTCAGCAGTTGTATTTATTAGTGCAGAGTGAAAATGAGAGCGAGTGGGAAACTGTTGCTTGACTGGTAGACATGTTGCCTGGGCCTCCTCTGTCAGTGCTTTGCAGCGTCCATCCTTCATGCTTGCCCTGTAAGAATGCTTTACCAAACCTTTGATTCAGATTCAACTTGATTGTATTTGTGCTCTTTTACAGACTCCTCTCAAGGGGCCTATGGCAGCATTTTTAATGAAAAGTAGGGACAATCCTCTGAGAGCTTTAGGCATTGTCACTTTTATCATTCTCGTACTGGTAGGAGTGACTGTGATGATCTCCACGGTCATGTACATGCGCAACTCAAAGTCAAACAGAATCATGCCAGTCCGACGCATCATTAAGAAGCGACCCAGGGACCAGCAGACGTGGAAATTCAAGATTCCTGTCATCAAGCTGTCCAGCCCAGCAGAGAAGTTTCTGATCAGTGACCCAGAAAGCAACCCACCGCAGGAAATCAGCAGCCCCAGGCTGAAGCCTCCACCTCCTATTGCTCCTTGTCTGCCCCCTCCGCCTCCCTCTAGCTCTCGGGCTATTGAGCGGCCCCGGGCGGTCCCAACCATATCTGGTGCACTGGCCTACAAAGGTTCAAAGAAGGCAAAGCCTGGCCGCCGCAAAGAGGGAAACATCAGTTCTGCGTTGGTGTCTGAGCTTAAAATGAAGCTGGAGCAGAAGATTAATGAGAATAACCAAGGGTATTATTAAACAGAACTGCAAATACATCTGGTTTAAGGGTCGCTCAGTCCATTTGTCAATGGCTCTGTGCTCTTATCTTACATGCAGCCGTCATGATGATTGGTAGAAGGATCTAACTTTGGATTTTTTTTTCTTGTCATATGTTTAAGTCTTAACAGACATCAAAGAAGTAGGCTGCAATTCATTCTCCACTGTATTAGACTTAGAGAAGTGTGGAGAGTCAGTGGTGCAGTCGCAGATAATTCACCACACTGACATCTTGAGGAGGATTATGTGATCTTAACAGTAAGAAGCACTACTGTAAATTGTCCTGGGAGAGGATTACTAAGGTTTAGTGTCTGTACATCAGTTGCATAACATCCCGAAAAGTGTAATGCTCACAAATGTGCAGTGTTTTCAGGACAAAAAAAATACTTTTTACCCGGTAAATTCCCATTACTGAAAGGTGTGTTTTCGCTCAGTGGAGCATGCAGCTATAACCACATGGCAACGTTTTACAATGAAGTGCTGAAGGACCTGTGTGTTGATATTTTTACTGTGTTACATCAGCCGCTTCAAAAGCCGAGAAGTTGCTCCTTTGTATGAAGACAATGTGCCACTGTAGTAACATGAGCCTGCTTGAGTAATTCTAGGAAAGAAAATGCTTTTATATAAATGAACATGCATCCGTTTTAAGTGTACAGCACTGTATTATTTTTAACTATATGACTACAAGAAATCTAACTCTATTAGTGGGGAATTGTTGATGAGAGCTAGTCATGCTTGAAATTTCCAAGCTGACGTTGCATTGCTGAGAGATTTTTATTTAAATAAATGTTTATCTGGAGCGTCTTTGTCAAACATGTAGAAGCTGTGCATGGATACTTTCCACCTCATTCTCAAATGCCTTTCAATGTAGGCAAAGGAAATATCATTGCTGTAACCATAACTTGTATCTGAGTAGTTCTTAACTTATACTTATTTCAAATAAGTTGAGATAAACTATATACAATAAATATGAATTTAACTTGCCTGGTCCGTTGAAAAAATTTATATTGTCTTTGTACTGTCTTGATTTTAAATAAATATTTGAACATATTTTGATCTATGTTGTGTTCTTGTGTAGAGGCTGGCTGACTGCTCTGTGATATTGAGTTATATTAATGTTCATATAAAAGCACAATAATGAAAAATGAAGGACTGTGCATGATTGAAACCTATTTAAAAAGCAGAAGAATACTGAGCCTGATTTGCATACTGAGCCTGAAGTTTTACTTTAAAGAGGTGTTATAATATCCCCAAAAATCTTAAGTGAAAAAGTGGACACTGTCAAGTTAGATCCCATGTGATTGAATCTTAAATGGACCTTAGGTGCACCTGAGAGGAATCTGCCATTTTGTGCTTTAAGCCTCTGGCACCTCCAGGTGGATCTTCCTATCATCTACTGCTTCCCCTCTGGGTCTCCTTCTTGGCCAGCAGGGTATAAATCCTTTAATGCCTTATGGTCACTATAGGTGTGATAAAAAAAATAGTAATTCAATTTGAGGCTTTAGGGGTTCTTCATTCTTTTCTTCTATCAAGCAAGAAAGGTTTTTTGCTGCTTAAAATCTCTTCTAAAGTGAAAAGTTGCACTCTTTTTCAGAAACTTTGTCTCTGGTCTCTGTAAGTTCTGTAGAAGGCTTTTTGTGTGGAAAAATTTACTAAGGTCATTCCAATTACTTCCCTGACACAACTGGCAGGAATATGTTTTTAGAATATTGCTCTTGTTGCTGTTTATACACAAACATTTAACTGTAACAAATAATTACTGAAATGTTTAGATGTTTAGATTTCTCTGGTCATGAATCAATTGTATGAATTAGAAACTGAATTGAAAATACGTTTCATACCTCAGTGGGTGAAACAATAATTTAAGACCACATTCTGTAGGTGAATGGTCAAATCTGGTGTGTGTGTGTGTGTGTGTGTGTGTGTGTGTGTGTGTGTGTGTGTGTGTGTGTGTGTGTGTGCGCATTTACCAGGTTTTTATATCCTTATGGGAACCTATAAGGATATAATGTGGGGTTATGGGGACCATTGCTTCTTGTGGGGACATTTTCTTGGTCCCCATGAGGGAAATTGTTATTTTTGGGTTAGTGGTTAGGTCTGTGATGGGTAGATTTAGGGTAAATCTACCCTAAATGTGATGGTAAGGGTATGTGATGGTTAGGATTATGGTAAGGGTTAGGCTGTAGAAATTAATGGAAGTCAATGTGAAGTCCCCACAAGTGATGAAAACATGACTGTGTGTGTGCGTGTGTGTGTATTGTTCAGCTGAGATTTATTTATTTACTCTTTTTACTTAACATTCTATAATGTTTTTACAGATTTCAACCAGAGATGTATAATACAAAACACTTCCCAACATTTCCAATAACATAGACTCTTTGTCACTGCAGACTCCTATTTTTATAACACATTTAATTTTTGCTGGAGTCTCAGAATCCTAAAAGGGAAAATGAAAGAATTAAAACCTTCATGCACCAGCCCTCTTGCATGTTCACTCTCATCATCCCCTGGATTCTTAGATTATTTTGTTTATTTTATCTGTCAATTATACATTTCAATTGTTCTTTTTCCAGCTTGGAATGATGAACAACCCACCTTCAAGACATAAATTCATAAGTATTTCAAAATGTTTCTAGATGCTCCTTATTTTAGATTAAAAGCCAGATATTTTGTCTTAATTAAATTCGGTGCACTCAAGAGATGCTGTTAAATAGAAATATCATATCCTCCTGACTGGGATTCGGATGGAAATTCATTTAATCTGCTTACTGGCGTATGTATAAATTCATGAAAATACTGCTTACATAACAAATTCTCTGAGTGATTGTGCTGAACAATCCAAGTATGTCTCAGCATTTGTTTTTTCTTTAATCCAGATCAAAAATCCTGCATACCATTTATAAGACTTCACATTTAGAGATCTGCAAAATGAAACAATAAAAGATACGATTTTTATTCATAACAAAATGCAACACACTGTGCCCATAAAATGACACAGTCAATATAATAAAATTTATCCACAAACATGTGACAAAGGAATAACAAAGTATTCATTATGACTTACGGTGCAGTATGAAAAACAGGAAAGAGTACTCAAAATACTTCATTTTGTACATGTATATATAAATACAGGACATACAGGGTATCAGCAAAGGAAGAAAGGCATGTTTAATCTCTGGGCAACAGTTTGGGATTTTCTTTTACATTTGATATAGGAACTTTTAAGTTTTCTAAACTTTTCAAAATTTATGTAATCATTAAACAAAGTAATTACATTTAAAATTATTTTGAGCTGAATGTTAAAAAAATGTAGGCTTGATACAAAGACTAAAGCTGTAAGAAGGCACAGACTGGAGCTAAAGGTAAATTTTTTTCTTAACGGGAAACTTAGTTCCTCCACATTGATTCTAGTATAGATGAGCAGCACTTCCCCCTCTGCACCTGTCTTCAGATTTCCGCCTCTTTGTTGGTTTTTCCTCTGGGTCCCTATACAGAGCTTCATCGCTGGCTGCCTGCAGGCTGTCAAAGGTGTTCTGCCTCTCTGATCCCTCTGCATCCTCAGCATGCCTCCTCCTCTTCTTCCACAGATCCACACAGCGGTCCACGCAGCTGAACCTGGCCTCCGTGGTGCATGCGTACATGCCTGCCGGCACTGCCAGCACCATGGCACACACAATGACAATGATGTGGATGAGTCTCTCCCTCTGCTCCAGCTGGCTAATGTCGCTACCTGTCACGAAGACAATGCACTGGCCCTCTCTGGGGGGATGGTTTTTCAGGGTGACGCACACCTCATATTTGGTGACAGGAAGCAGGTCGCTGACCGAGTAACTGTTTATGCCAGGGCCAATGAAGATCATCTCTTTCTTGGGTGAATCGTATTTACCAAAGTGGACAGTGAACCAGGTTTCTGCTGGATTGTCCGTCACGGCATGCCACTCCAAGGTGATACCATAGACAGTCTGCTTGGCGATGCGGATGTCAATGTGAGGACTGTCATTAGATGACAGCATGGGTACAGGTGGAGGAAGGGGAGCTGAAGAAATGGGGGAATCAATGTTGAGTGAGATACCGACAGAGGAGTTGCCAATGAAGTTGTTCGCCATGCAAGTGTAGAGTCCGCGGTCCGCCAGGTGCACGGACGGGATCACCAGCTGGGATGTGATGGTCTCCTCATCTATCTGAGTCTGGGTAGCTACAAGGATACAAGAAAAAGACATCAATCTACCACATTAGAATTAACAAAAATCAACATCTTTCCTTTATTTGCAGCTGTTTCACACCCCAGCTCTTTGATTTCAATTAAATGAACCTCCGTTGTATTTTGTTTTGTTTTTTTACAATTGAAATCTGCTTTCTTTAGGATATAACACCAAATCCTAAATCTGTGCAGATTTGGTGTTGTTCCACTGTTCACTTTTGCTGTGAGCAACCAGGACAAAGGGTGATTGGCTGCTTCTTCTTTCCTCTTTTCTTTACTAGTCAGTGCATATGGCAGACAATACTGTCCCAATTAACAGCTGCTGAAACTAAATGACGCTATGCTATCCAGGTGGTTTCCAAAGAGCAGTGTGAAAGTGGCCCAAACCAGATGAAAGTGTGACATTTTGTGATAGTCCAATCCGACTGAGTCCCTATGATGATGTGAAAGGGTCCCATGCCAGGTTATGCAACAGCAGTTTGAAATATAAACGTACATAACATAAGATGAGTTCACATTTCTTTTAATTTTGTAATAATTGAAACTTAAGACTTACAAGCAAATCCTCTGATGATCTTGAGAGGATACATCCACTGAATGTTTGAAAGTGGCCTGGCTTTGACTTGGCACATCAGCGTTGCATTTGCTCCCAGGGACAAACTAACGTTAGACTCTGCCGCCGAGGCCAGCGGCTTCATGCAGGTTTTCAGCTGGACCTCATGGAAATATTTGTCCACTTTGGTGCCTGGGCCAGAGCACTTCAAGTAAGAGTTCATCAGGATAACAGGAGGGCTCACCTTACGGATGAATTCAACAAAACCTTTAAGGCGGCAGTCGCACGACCAGGGGTTGTCATGTAGAGCTAAGACCACGTTGGAGACCAGACCTTCTTTCCCCCACGCTTTCTCTGCTATTTGGTAAAGAGGCCAATTTGTGAA